CGAATCAAGCTTTGACGTTTCGTGAGTCGTACTAAATACAGCCTGCAGGAGGCGACGAAAGTCTTTTTCTGTGTAAGGTGAGCATCTTTGTTTTGGTCGAGTTCGTCTAGTTAATCCAATCTATAATTACTGTAATTATAATGGCTTAATGAATTAGGTCATTAAAAATATTTATAAACGTGTGGCCAAACGAAGTATGTGAACAATAGTGAATTCTTAGAAATAATTCGTGCCGTTTTGAAACTTTCTTACACTTTGTGTAAATATTATTCAATCCATGCAAGAAATGCCTCGTGGATGATATTTATAATAGAGTGACCACTTACAATAGTTGCACTAAATGTTCTACCCTATAGCTCAATGTGACGAATAACTTAACGGACGATACGTGGGATCACCGACCTCATCGCGGTTTAACGGGTAAGGCTTTTGATTTAATTTCACCAATATAGAAAGCCCCACGTAAGCAGGGCATCAAAAAATTGGATAAAACTCTTGATGTTCCTCCCCACGGAAATCTTTAGTAAAAGGCGAAAGATTTATGCGATCTGAAGAGAAACAAGAGTGTACTGCCTATTCATCTGAAGCAACAGGGAAGTCATCGTAAGCGGTACGACTTAAACTAGCGGTGTAACAACAACAAAAAAATTCTAAACTCACGCAAAACATCGAAACAAAGATAATAACTTTTGAATAAGAAAAATATGTCAAATATGTGGAAAAAAAGTATTAATAAACGAGTATAAATCCTTTTAAAAACAGTTCTTGTGTCGCAAAGCATGCTGGGATGTCAAAGGATTTTCGGGTTGGTGGCGTCATCATAGCTGTTAGCTCCTCCCCGCAATACCCTCACGCTCCATTCAATCCTTTAAAAACACCAAATGTTAGGTGAGACTTGTGTGTGATTAATATCTATTGTGAATGTTAGAAGACCCCCATGACAAATGAGTCATACGCAAATGAATCTGTCCTAAATATTCCCACTTATTATGTTGTTGTTATTATTGTTGTTATAGAATAAACCCTGTTTGGACCTACAAGCTTTTCAGAGCCCTTCAAATGTCTTTCAAAGTAATGCGATAGCTGTACGCTATAGCCTATTGATACAACTAAGAATACGTTTACCCATTCGGACATTCTTCCAAGTTATGTTTTTTGACGGGGTTCCTTTTGAGGGGGTTCCTTTTCACTCCTTTGATACAGACGCATGATTTTGCTGTTGTGCAGCTTCTCCCAGGTTTTCATTTCCAGAATGTAGTCGTGATTTGCGTAGAAAATCACCCGGTTCTTGTCATGCTTCTCGTAATAGTAGTTGGAGTACTTAGCGTAGTCTCTCGTCATGAAGCCGTACGCGTCCACCTGGGTAGAAAAAAAAAGAATTGGATGAGGAAAATATGATTGAGACATTTAATTGTTGGGTCAAAAACGAAAACAAGAGCAACTGACTATATCACATGTGTGAAGAGCCAAGAAGACCGTAAAAGCACCGTTGGTTGGTCGGACTATTGCCCAGTAAGTTTTATTCAGGTTAGGAGATCTCAGGAACCTGCAAAGTGACAAATATATGCTTGCAGTAGGAACAGTATGTTAATGAAACATAATTAATCAGTGAAGGTCGACCTGTTGCGCACATATCGCAGAAAGTCCTGGTGCAGGACGTAAAAACGACTCTCGCTGTACTTCCCCTTGTAATACGTCCGAGGCCTGAATGTGAAAGATTAAAAAAATCATACAATTGTAAAGTGACAATCTAAAATAAAATGTAACTTTCATATTGCTCTTAAAAATTCGCCCATAACTTAACACTTTATAGCACACTCATTGAAAACCAGGACTTGGAAATTCATTTTTTAATCCAACTGGAGTACATAACGCAGACTACACTTTTCTGACTCAATAATTACAATAATAATAAATCTTTAGGCTCCAATAAACACAACACATTCAGGCCAGGATATTCATCACCGTTTACTTTTGTACGGGCCAAACTCCACTCTCTGTCCTCTGAGGAGTCCTTGGAGCCACTGGAAGTCCCTCATGCCCTCTGGAATCATCACATATTTGATGCCCTGCACGAAAAATGTGCTGCATGAGTGACCGACTCCGATATAATCAATAAAAGGAGTTAAAGGTCAGCTTACCTCGTCGTGGGGGGCCGATTTGTAGCCATATTTCTTGAACAGATACAAAGACATGGTGATGGAGTGAGCCGTGTGGACGTAAACTGTTGTTTTGTTCCCCACGTCCTCCTCATAACCCTGGACGACCGCGCCATTCATCCTGACACGCATCATTAGAGTTATTAGTGTTGTTATTTTTTTTTTGTCGACTTTTTCCAGCATACGCCATCAACACGCTGATGAAAAGTGGATGGTTGGAACTGGAGAATTTAACATGACCCTTCAGTCTAATATAAAAGGTTCAAATTTGGGAGGAATAAGAACAAATATTTAGGACGAGGATCCTTGAAAAGTACTACTTCAAATGTCAGACTTATTTGATCTTTTCAGACAGTAATTCTTTTGGAGATTTTTTGTTTTGGTGGGTCTTTTCTGAGTCTTGACAGATATGCAGAACAAATTTCATGTCACGAAGTGATACTGGCTCCAGGGGATGCTTTTTTTTTTTTAATTCCCGGCTCCTGAATAAATGACCCAAAATGGCCACTGTGATCTTTTCACACAGGGCCTTTTTTTTCTTCTTTTTTTTTAAGACTACACGTGATAGACATGCGAACCAAATTTCATGTCATGAAGTGAAGCTGCATTCAGGGGTTGGGTTTTCCCAAATTTCTGGGTGCTTAAAAAAAAAAATTCAAAACGAACCCTAAAATGACCACTACAAAACAAAATGGCAGACTTTCGGACCTTTCCGGAAAGCTGCTCAAGACCTTTTTTTTTTTTTTGTTGTCCTTGTAACACGCCTGGCTGGAAGAGAATGTCACTTCTCCTGTCTGGTGGGCAGAACACTTTTGTCTGCTTCATCTGTGAACTTGCCCTTTGAAAACAAACAAAAATCCTCGCTGATACAAGATATTAGCCAATGCCGTATGTGTTTTTTTTTGTTGTTTTTTTTGTTTTTGTCTCCGACGAGGTGAGACGCATACCAGCATGAATGTACTGTCACACCTTGGAGGACAGCTCCATCCACTTACACGACCTGGACTAAAGTATTGGGACACCTGAGGGGTCTCGCGGGTGGTGTGTTAAATGAGATCATCTTCAGCGATCAAGCGATACGATTCCCCGTGGAGTTATGTGTCAATCACTAGAGCCTTCAAGGTTGACGTCGCACATTTATTAGCCAACAGTTTTTGAATCAAAATAGACCGCAACACAATCGCGTGCCGCAGGGATGATACCGCATGAAAGCCCTTTGTATTGGACGACGCATGCGGGCGAACTGGTTTTGCGAATAGAATTTGACATTGGCTCTATCTTGCATTCGTTTGGTGCTCATGCCTCGCTCAATATTTATTCAAGACATCCTGAAGCTTACCGAATGCCAAGTGCAAAGAACGCTACTGATGTTTTGACGAGAATAAGAATGGACTGAAATAATATTGCATGACAGCTCATCATTCTATCGCCTGATATTGGTGCTTAGTGCAAACGCACTTGACTTTAACCCTTTCGTCCATCCTGTAACCTGATAACATGGTAAGCTGTCCACTGTAGTCACTGCTGTTCCTGAAAAGGTTAAAGTGGCTTGTCCAGTCCACAAATGGAAAATATTGTGTTAGAGCAGGGATGTTTTGAAGCCGCATGCAGAAAAGCTATAGGCAACTCTACCAAATGACTCCAAATCGAAAATATTACCGAAACACGTGATCGTGCGCGTCGATTTCTTTCCCCATATTGGAGCCGTTCAGGATGCCGCCACTTCCCACCACAGCGCAACGAATGCAACCGTCGCCGCCAACCTTTGGAGAGAGGAGGGGCTCCTTTGGCTTTGGGATCAACTTGACTGAGGACATGACGTCTGAAAAAAAAATGACAAATTATGATGTGTTTTCCTGTTTTATGGCAAAACATTCAACTGTGCGGCCACGCTACACTGACATTCAATGACAAAAATTCAATTTCCGCATAATTTAATCTCGCCCATCAGTGTGGTAAATTTTGTTCAAATCAGTCAGCAAATGGAGAAAAATCTCTGGAAGTGTAAAAGTTCATCTTTCAAGGACCACTCGTCCTGGACCCCTTTAAAATGGCTACTCCAAAGTCAAATGGAGCTTTTTTTTGTAGGTCTACTCATCATAGATATGCCTCCCAAATGGCATGTCACAAATGTGAAAACGGTCTTGGCAAAATCACACACTTCGTACCAGGATGTCTTTACAAGTGTAACTACTTGAGACTTTTTGTTGGTCTACTCATGAGAGTGGGGATTTAAATGTCTTGTCGCGATGTGAAAATTGCCTCACGGCAGAATTTTAGAAAAATTCAAAGGGGGCCTGAAAAACAAAAATGACCCTAAAATGGCTCCTTTGATTCAAAACGTAAGACTTTCTGTATCTTTTCAGGCAATTGGTTCTTGAGACTTTTTTCTAATAATATCCGAAAATCTGTAGCCCTAAAAATGGCCAGAATAACCCCTCGTACTACCACTTCAAAGCAAAATGTCTGACTTTGTAAGACTTTTGGTAGCCATCGGACAAAATCTCTTTCGTTTTAGAAGGATCATCGGAAAATCGCTTGACTAACCATCATAAGCGTATCCCATGAAGCCAAAAGGGTTGTTGAAATGGGAGAGTCTGTTCCACTCGCTCATGTTGATGCTGTCCTTGTGCACGAACAAGCGTACGTTGGGAAGGAAAGCCTTCTTGAAGCTCTCGTCCTTGGAGTTCCTCAAAGACTGTTGGCACTTCTGCGGGGGAGGAATTTAAACTAAATTCAGGCTTTACTTTTTTTTTCCTGCCATGACGAGCACTTACTCTGTTTCCGGGTGCAGCATCCTGGTTATAAACGTCCTCGAAATCCCACACGGGAAGTCTGGAGAAGTTGGCTACAAAGAGGATGGGCATCGGAGTCTCTGGGACGACAGCGGGTGTGGATGTGATTTCTGTCGTGCTTTCAAACTCCGTGGCAGGCGCTGGGGTGACTGATTTGGTAAGATGTGCGATATTTAAAGTGGTGTGTCTGGCAGGGTTTTCATCATAATCTTGTTTTGAGGCGATGATCTCAAGGTTCCCAGAGAAAGTGGTCCCGCTGAATTGGAGGAGAAGGCGATCACATAGCAAGGAGCTGAATGCTCAAAAAGTGCTCAGACGCTTTTTAACACTTGGATTTTCTGTTTTGACACCTTTACGATAAAAAGAAAGCAACTCTCAATTGCTAAAACAAAACCAAAAACTCCCTCTCTCTCTCGAGGATTGAGTGTATGTTGACTGTTTTGTCATAAAAAAATAAAATAAATAAAAATCAACTTTTTTTGATTTTTAGCTTCAGTCCAATGGACATTGGACTGCTCCAGCTGGTGTGACCCTTGTCCACCTTGGGCAATATAATACAGCCACAGAGAGACACATAAAGAAGAGTTTCACAAGTAATTTAATAAGCTGCAGTAATATTACTCTTTTTTGCTGGATACAGAATGTATGCCTGTATTGTTAAATTGTCTGTCCAACCGTGTTGCTGCACAGTTTGTGGACAAATATTTGTTGCTTAAAGAATTGGAGTACTGTGACACTGACGCTATTTATCCGCCCAGCTTTGTTGTATCACAATGTGTCACTATAATTAATCAGCCCCCCCGCCCCCACCCCACTCACCTAAAGTCACAGGACCTTTTTACAAAACTAGAATCCTGATTAAATCATAAAATTAGACAATTCTTCCTGCAAAAAGTTTTGCAAAAAACAAACAAACAAAAAAAAAAGACTTACTTGTTCATTGTGAAATTATCTTGAAAAAGAACAAAAATGACAATTCCGAGTGAGATGACAACCAGCCAAGTAAAAATCCTGGATATGTTCAAGGCCATGCCGTCACCTTAGATCTGTCCTGCTGGAAGGATCGCTGCTCTGCTGCAGGTTGGGGGTGAAGGGGAAGTGGCACATTGTGGCAAACACACGCTGGGCAGGGCTTCTGCTCCACACTCGCACCCCGGCACACATACACATGCACACGCATTCCTTAGACACAGAGTGCACCCGTACACAAAGCACAAAAAAACACTACCTGTGTGTTTCCTGGACTCACTGAATCCACAACAGAGGTTTTAATGCTGCAAGAATCTGCCATTAGCACCAGATGCAAGCTTACATTATTAAGCGGCATCCTCAAAAACTGTTGAATAGACTGAAAAAAACACTTTATTTCAGTTTCATATCATCCTGTAGTCATCCCTGAGATACCTTTTCCCATTCTTCAGTAGTCAGCTGTTGAACACACGCTGGGTTCACCAAACGGAGCAATTTCTCCCCCCATAAAGGAGACAATTTACCGAAGAGGATTAGGGCCAATGAAAAAAAAAAACCAAAAAAAAAAAAAAACAAGGTTGGCAAGATTCTCACTTTTATCTATGACTTGTATTCTGACTTGTATCACGCAATAAAGTGACTTTCATGCAAATATTTTGTAATTGAGTGACACATTTAACAACTTTGTATTACAGATGTCAGGTGGGATTTTTAGCACCGTTGTAAAAAGGTTCACAACGCTTTAAGAATATAAATCTAACAACAATCGTGTGGTTATTGTGTACCGTGTTGTGTATTTTAACTGTTGGAAAAGTAGATTCACTACACCTACTCGAATACATGTGCGTAATTCCCAGAAGGGAATATAACAACAATGGATCCTCACAATAAGGATGATTTTTAAAATGTCTTGAAATACTGAGCACGAGCTTCTCTGAACAGCTTGGACGAAATGTTTTTTTTTTAAAGTTCCTTTTTGACGTGTATCAGTGACCTCTGCTGGTGATAAGAAAGGCTGCAGTGGATTTTCAAACGCTGAAAAATCTTTTTGACGCTCACACACTATCACGGTCTGTTTACAAGTGAAGATTTTTGAGATGAGAATGCTGGGAGGGAATGAGAATATTGTACGTAAATAGTGTTCAAAAGAACCCCTCAAAAGTCTTGAAATTATGCTAGCTGTACGATGTAGCATACGGCTACAACCAAGAAAAAGTGACACCATTTGGCTATTCTTTACCAGTTACCCTTTTGGAGGGGGTTCCTTTTCTTTTCCTTGATAAAGACGGATGATTTTGCTGTTGTGCAAGTTCTCCCAGGTTTTCGTTTCCAGCTTGAAGTCGTGATTGATGTACAAAATCACGCGGCCCTTGACATGCTTCTGGAAATAGTAGAAGGGGTACTTTGCGTAGTCTGTCGTCATGAAGCCGTACACGTCAACCTGGGTAGAACAGAAAGATTTGGATGTGGAAAATATTTTGGAGTTATTTAGTTTTTGGGTCAAAAACAAGACAAACTGACTATATCGCATGTGTGAAGAGCCAAGAAGACTGCAAAAGCACCGTTGGTTGGTCGGACTATTGCCCAGTAAGTTTTATTCAGGCTCGGAGAGTTCAGGAACCTGAAAAGGGACAAAAATAAGCTTGCAGTCAAAACAGTTTCATGATGAACAATAGTTTATGAGTGAAGTTCGACCTGTTGCGCACATATCGCAGAAAGTCCTGATGCAGGACGTAAAAACGTTTCTTGTTGTACTGCCCTGCGTAGTACTGTTGAGGCCTGAGAAAAAAAAATACAATCATGCAACAAAGTATCCATCAAAAATAAAAATGTATCTTTGATTTTACAACTTTTGTTATTTCAGGCCACCATAACTTAGATCTTTATTGCAATTACAGACGCTCCCCAGATAACGAACGAGTTACGTTCCGAAGGATCGTTCGTTGACTGAATTCGTACGTAAGTTGCTTCAGTGCTATATTTTGTATGGAATGTATGTTTAAGGCTTATATAAGTATGTTTAAGGTTTATGTAAGTACAATAAAATGAAGTTTAACTTACTTTTGGAAGATGTACTCGAAGGCTTAAGGAGATGATGGAGGGGGAGAGAGTTCCGTCTCGAACTTCTTCATGGGGACAGGCGTTTCCTCCTCCTCCTCCTCCTCCTCTCACAGCGCCTCACGTCGGTATTAGCGGCGGAAAGGAGTACTACAGTACTCGGAAAAAGGCGCGCAATACAAAATCGAACTGACAGCATCTCTGTCCGAGAACATTTTTCGACATACCTGTACCCGCAAAAATGTTCGTATGTACCGTTGTTCCCAATCCGAAAGTTCGTAAAGCGGGGAGCGCCTGTATAACAAAAGGCTGTACTTGGAAATTCAACTTTTATTGAATAGGGGAAAAAATGACTACTGGTATATTTTTCCAACGTAATATTTACAGAAATGTCAAAAAATCTTGCCTGAAATCAGCCTGTATCAATGGTTTTATTCTTATTATGATTCTTTTTAGCAAGATCTCATGAAATTACGATTGTACTTGGTTTTACTAACTTACAAAGCCTCATAATAAGGTCAATAAAAATGACACACGACTGGCTATTTTTTTGGGGGGCGAGGGGCATGACAAGTACATACGTGTTGGGCTCCACATATGACACTCCATACATACCGTCTTTAGAATATTGTGAAAATAAGTATTTGAATGATAATTACGAGTGATAATAATGAGGACAATCTTAAAATTGGAGGTAAGTGATACATTTTTTGCGAGGTATCGTATCGGTTCGGAAATTCGTCACGTCAACCGCCCGTGAACAATTCCCAACACATTCAGGCCAGGATATTCATCACCGTTTGTTTTTGAACGGGCCGAACTCCACTTTCTCTCCACTGATGAGTCCTTGTAACCACTGGAAGTCCCTCATGCCCTCTGGAATCATCACATATTTGATGCCCTGCACGAAAAGTGTGCTGCATGAGTGACCGATATATGTACGATACGATCGATAAATGAGGTTGAAGGCGGGCTTACCTGGTCGTGGGGGGCATATATCTGTCCGGTTTTCACAAAATGACTCGTAGACTGATAGAGGGAATGAGCCGTGTGGACGTAAACGGAGGTTTTTTCCCCCACGTCATCCTCGTAACCTTTGGTGATGGCGGCGTTGACTCTTGACACATTTTAAATTGGTGTGAGTCAGTCAACTTTTTAATAAATGAAAATGACAAAAGAACCACAGTACACGGCGTCCTATTGCTGTTTTTGTATGAGCTGTCTGAAACGGATTTAATTAGAGTAAATTGTTTGGAATGCAAATTTTGTGGTGTGTTTTATTTTAGGTAGCGGGACATGAGTCACGGTTCCGTCTACCAAACACTGAATAGTGTCATTGACAATGCGCTGCCAACATGACATTTTGTTTTGCCGTAACACACTGTTAGGTGTTGAACGTTCAACACTTGTGTCAGCGTTACTTTAACACCAGGTAGTGTATTCCATTTTACCGAAACACGTAATCGTGTGCGTCGATTTCTTTCCCCATATTGGAGCCGTTCAGGATGCCGCCACTTCCCACCACAGCGCAACGAATGCAACCGTCGCCGCCAACCTTTGGAGAGAGGAGGGGCTCCCTTGGCTTTGGGATCAACTTGACTGAGGACATTATGTCTGGGAAAAAAAATATGGTCAAATGATTGTTAGTTTCTAGGTCTCGGAAGGATAAGTGGAAATGCCTGGACGTACCATCATAAGAGTATTCCATGAAGCCAAAAGGGTTGTTGAAATGGGAGAGTCTGTTCCATTCGCTCATATTGATGCTGTTGTGCATGAACAAGCGTATGTTGGGAAGGAAAGCCTTCTTGAAGTTTTCGTCCTTGGAATTCCTCAGAGATTCTGGGCACCTCTAAGGGGGGGGAGAAAAAAAACGAACCTAAATTCAAGCTTTCCTTTCCTTTCCTGCCATGACGAGCACTTACTCTGTTTCCAGGTGGAGCATCCTGGTTATAAACGTCCTCGAAATCCCACACGGGAAGTCTGGAGAAGTTGGCGACAAAGAGGATGGGAATGGGGGTCTCGGGGACGACGGCAGGCGTGAACGTGATTTCTGTCTGGCGTTCAAACTGTATGACGGGCAATGAGTCTAATGATTTGGTAAAACCAGTGGCCTTTAAGATGGCGCGTCCGGTGGCGTTCTCCTCCTCATAATCCTGTTTTGAGATGACAGTATCAAAGTTCCCGGAGAAGGTGATCCATCTGAATTGGAAAAGAAACGATAGCAATTAAGGAGCTGAATACTCCAAAAAGTGTTCAGATGCTTTTTACCACTTGCGCCCCTCTGCGAATTTACTCTTTGGACATATTTTTTTCCCCCTTTGTGATGAGGGTTGGGCAGAACAATTAATGACACTTAAATTGTTTCATCCATCCATTCATTTTCTGATCTGCTTATCCTCACATGGGTCGCAGGCGTGCTGCAGTCTGTCGCAACAGTAGGCGCGGCACACCTTTAATTGGTTGCCAGCCGATCGCAAGGTACATAAACAACCAACCATCCGCACTCACGATCACACTTCGAGACAATTTTAGCGCTTTCCATTAACCGGCCGTGCATGTTTTTGGAATGTGGAAAGAACATGAAAAGTTGAAGTGATGAAGCCACAGATTTGTTTGGGTTTGGTGTGGTCTGATTTACGTTGATGAAAGTGTGATTTACTTTACGCGTGGTAGAATTCCGTCAAGTTGCCACCGTCAACCCTTAAAAGAGCTGAAAGTGTTGAGTAGTTAATAACTCAAATGGAAGTGCAGTCAGACAGCTCATCAGGAAGTCTCATGCCTTGGTTTAATCATCGGCCAAATAAGGTGCCTGCGATCTTCGCAGGCATAAGATTTTGCATAAGAGTTTGGACTGTGGGAAAAAAAAAACCTACCAAAATACAACGCAAAAAAATATGACACCTAATACATAACATTTTAATTTCGTAAATGCCTTCGCAGGCATAAGAGTTTGCATAAGAGTTTGGACAGTGGGAAAAAAAAAAATACCAAAATACAACGTAAAAATATGACACCTAATACATAACATTTTAATTTCTACCACGGCCTTTGTGTTTCACTTTTCTGCACAAATGAGACATTTCAATTAAATATTAAACAATGGATGTATTTGTGTTGTCGATGTGCATTTTTTTCCCCAAGTTATGCTAATCAACGAATCGTTTTATTTTCATATACAATTTCAAGTGCAACCACCACCGTCGTGCTTTTAGAATTTGGAGGTTAATTGAAAGCAAGTGACACACAGCGTGGTAAATTGGTGAATTTTCCCCCTCCGATTTTTGGCACACCGCAGAATCCACGCAAACTTCTGGGGTTCGGCAACATACAAGGAGCCTGACCAAAAAAAAAAAAAAGGTTTTCAAAGAAGAAAAACTTACTTGTTCACTGTCAAATTTTCTTGAAAAACCACAAAAAAGACAATTCCGACGCCAATGACAAACAGCCAAGCACAAATCTTGGATGTGTGGAAGGTCATACTGTTACCGGTGAATGCGCGGCTGGAAAGATTGCTGCTCTGGCTCTGTTTGTTGGTGCATGCAAATTGTGCCATGCCGCACTCACAAAATGGGAAGGGCTTCTGTTCGGCACTTTCCCCATCCGCACAACCACAACATCCACACATGCTGCCTTGTCATTGCACAACAAGTAAACAAAGATCACGGGTATTTTCTGAATCCGCAGCATGATATTTATTCCGCTACAGCAGAGCTGTCCATCTGATTTTTTGCCGCAGGGCACATTGGAGTTATGCCTTCCATCGGAGGGCTCATTATGACTCGGAACCCCCAATGAATGTACGATTGGCTCATACTACATATACACAAGAAATTGATGAATGACACATGCACCCATCGCTACTTCTGACTTGCACTTTTATTCACCAGACAAGGCAATCAAGAAATCCAACATAGTTGTCTATTTTTTTCTGGGCTAACACGTAACGCAATGCATTTTTATTTAATGGGAAAGAACGCATTGCTTTGTGCAACGTTGACTGATGTTCTTGTCAACAGTAATTGGGCTTGGCCAAGACAATGCGACGGATTTGATTTGAATGAACGTCTAGCGGGAAAGGAGCGTCAGTTTGTCAATAGAAGAGTGACTTCTACACTTGGTACACTACACAAGTATTTCCTGTTCTATTAATAGTTATCCGAGGCTTGAGCACAAAAAAAAGTTACTTACCTGACGTTTACTGACAAATTTCCCTGAAATAAAAACACAATACCGAGGGAGCCGACGAGTAGCCAAGCAAAAATCCTGGCGGTGTGGAGGACCATCATGTCACCTTGCACCTGCCCGGCTAGAGCACCGCACGGTCACAGACACACAAACTCCACCTGCGTGTTCAATTTTTTATTTATTACACAACAGCGGAATGTTACACGGGGGTGTCGCGTTTATATTGGAAGTTGCTCACTTGGTGTCTTTGTGCTGCGTTAAGTCCAGCCTGGGAATAACCGAAAAAGCAAGACGGACGGACCACTCGGTTTTTTTGGGGGGTCACAACAAAATAGCGGCTGCTGGAATACTGTCACAAGTGTGCTGGTGAGTTTGGTCGGCAGGTTAAGGCAGCGCATGTGACGTCGTCATTGTCTGTCTCCCTCCTCAGATGGAGTAGAGACGCAGCTGCTCCTCCATGTCGCCCTCGGAGACTTCGCCGAACGTCTCCGTGTTGTCCTTGAGCAGTTGGAAGATGGCAGCCAGCTGCTCCCGCTGCACCCTGGTGGGGGAAAAAAAAAGAACAACGTAGGCGGTGATCTTCAGTTTGGGCCATCACTTGTTATACACTGAAAAATAGTTTTAAGTGACATGTATTTATTGCAATGAAAATGATCAAACAATTTGATCGCACAGGTTTCAAATTAAGTTTCCAAGGAAGGGTGAGGGTTTTACAGCCCCTTCCTTCCTTGCCTCCTCCATCGAGTCTTTCTCACTTTGAAACAATCCTTGCTTCCTCCCAGCTATCCTTCCTTTCATACGCCCTTTTATCCCTCTTACATCCCTTTGCTGCCATCATTTTATCCCTCCTGGCTTCCTTTCACACATCCTTGTTTGCATGCATCATGCCTACTTCCATCCACATCCACAAGGTTCCTTAGATACCATCTTTGTTTTCTTCCTTCCCCCTTAATCCATCCCTTGTTCCTTTCTCTGCCCTTAAATCCTTCCTTACTTTCGTTTTCTACCAAGCCATCCTTCCATCTTTTCACCTTCCTCCCTTGCTTTCTTGCCTTCCTTCATTATATTACTTTAAAAAGTGTATACTCTACTGTAGTTTTGGTCCACTCTTGACATGGACACCATTTAAGTAATTACATCCAGTTTGTGTTACAGATGCACTACATTTTTTTTTTTTATAAATTTAACTTTTCAATAATAATTACGTTTTTGGCAAATCAGAGCGTTCTCAATAAAAAATGCTGTGAATAGGCCAAAGTAGTTTTTTTTCCCCAAATTGATTTATAGCACCCTCTAGTGGCCTTCATGGGGCAGCAAAAGCTGCCTTTGATTTTATAATTCAATTATGATACTCTGGTAAAATTAAGATCGGCTCAATTTTGGTTAACACTGTCAGGAAAGTATTTATTTTAAAATGTGTGTTTTGGTTATGATAGTAGTTTCTACCATTTTGGTTATTTATTTTAATTCGTCTTTTTAAAGGCAGCATTTTTCATACAGATTCTGATTGAGCTCATTATGCTTATCTGAAGGACTAATGAACAAGGCTGCAAGTGACTGCTGTGCCAAGAGAGCCAATCAACACTTGGATCCCGACCCGTGACACCCGCGAGTAGCACGTTTTGATGAACAAACAGTGCAGGGAGAGGCGATACGTTTTGAAGCAAAATTCGCAGGGCAACTCCCTGTGTCAACGCCAGGCGTCTTTTCTTCTGCCGTGTCTCTGCGTCATGTCCTCAGGTCAAACGTCTTGCATGTTGGCAGGGACTCAATCTGGCCTTAAATCAGTCTAGCCCCCATCGCACAGCGGCTTAAGAGCGCAAAGCTGCGAGTGAAATGCAGCCACCACACAAGCAGAAGCACGTTTTGAACTGACCTCTGCTCCTCTTCTAGTTCGTCTTTGGACATCATCATCTCCAGGTGATGGGAGCGTGACTTTCCGGGGACGTACTTCAAGGAATTGTTGGTGTGGAACTCCGATTTATCTGCAGACATAGACATTTGGTTAATGAATTTATTCTAAAATGCATAAATAAGTAATTTTATACATATTTGGTGCTCACCGTTGACGTCCGGGCTCTCTGCGTCTCCATCAGTCTGGGGGGAAGAGAAAGCACACTTTAGGAGCTCCTGATCAGAGAGCCCGATGAAGGAGCGCCGGCCACGCCCCGACGATGCCTCGGATGACGAGTCAAAACTGGCATGCCTGGAGTCCGGCCGCGGCACGGACAGGCTGGACGCTGCCGACGAGGAGGAGGAGAGCTCGGCTGGGGCCGTCACCGCGACCGCCGCGGCCTCCGGCTCCTCGCTGGCGGGACGGGTTTCAGCCTCCTCCTGTATGGAACAATGAGACCGAGAGCGGCATCACCTTGGAATGATGCTGATGGTGCCGCTCAGCATCCCTGCTGAGATGATGGACAGTTGACTTGAAAATAACCTTTGATTTTTCTAATGTGAAATGAAGTATTGTGTCTATTCCAACCTCATATGTTATGTATGTTTAAAAGTACAGTGTGTAGAATTCAGTGCCATCTAAAAACTATTCCAAATTTCTTCAGCAAAGCTATATAAATGTTATTCCAACCGACTTCTAGTATTCCCTCAAGTTATTACAATGTTTTAACGTCGAGGACCTTCATTCACTAAGTTTGATTCCTACGAATATCCGTAGCCGAAAGATGGCGGCAAAACATGGCAACCGATCGCAGAGGAGGCGCACCCGTTGTAATATAATTTGAGATTACTTCACCTACGAATACATAAACAATTACGTCGATATGTTAAATGCGTCGATGCATTTCAGTCATATATAAATATATGTTCTGTTTCGTGTTATATACAATCAATGGACTCACAGTCAAAAATGATGTCTAATGTGCATTGAGCCTTTGTTTCATAGTGGATTTCAGGATACGAGAAATTGACGTGCAGTAAGAAAGTTGTTTATCATGTGCAGTAAGCCAGGTGGATCATTTACAAGTTGACGCAGAACGAACTTTCTTTGATCCTTGGCCAGGACGGAGTGGCAGGGGAAGGTAAACTGCTTAAGAGAGTGACGTAATCTATTACAGTTTAACACAACAAACAAATGTAGCTGGAGGACACTCACTGATAGGACAGATTTGACCACGTCCCAGTGGTCGTGGGAGCTGCCGCTCATCTCGCACCAGTCGTCCCCCACAGCCACCTCCTCCGCCGTCCCCTTGTTAGAATTATCCGATAAATGGCCGTTCTGCTTTGCCTCAGTCTCGCCCCCTCTGACGGCGTCCGCGATGGGTCCATTTGGGTAACTCCTGGCTGAAGACGACCGGGAGGAACCGTTTAAAAGCGACGTCGCGACCACCAGGGCGAGCAGTGTGAAGATGACGGCGAATAAAATGAAAGTCCAATCCATGGCTGATATATTTTTATTTTTTTTAATAGTCTTGCGTGGTTCGACCAGCAGCCATGGCGACGCTTTGAGGATATAATCGCCCCCAGACAAGCTGCCTAAACGAGCGGCGTTGACTGGATCAAGCAAGAGGCGCTGTCAGTGTCCGACGTCACGTCACCTGGCACCGCCCCCTCCCTTTCCATTGGCGATCAGGCGCGCCGACGTTCAACGTGCTCGGCTCGTCATCTCGGTGATAATCGCATCAGCGGACCAGTGTCCAGATGTACCGTGGATGGATAGCTCGTGACAGTACCCGTGTAGGCGCAGGGTGACTTACAAAAAAAAAAAAAAAAACAAGTCAAGCACAGGTCAGCGGAAAACGCTCGCCTGAGCCGAGGATACTTCCGGGTGTGTGATTACATTCGTTTCCATGACGACAGAACAGCTTGGCCGGACTTGTCCAAAGTTTCGAGTAGCATTGTCTTTACGCGGACATAAATGTACATCAAGTGACTTGCAATAACAGTGATATCTAAAGTTCAAGTCTCTCTGTGAAGCAGCAGTCATAACGTAACATATCTCTGTTGGCATTCGTGTTCAATGCAAATGGGCGAAGTGTTACATCTAATGTGTCGGAGCCTAAAATTAAAAAGTGCACTCTAACGCGTTAAGATGCCCTCAAGCAAATGTGCTACCACTAACAAACGAATTAATGTATATGTGAGGCTCAATATTAACAAGTGTCAACTCATTCAGTAGATAAAACTTGATAGCTTCTCTTTTTATTGTAGGTGTGTGGCATAAGCTATTTTCTTTATTAAAGTAAATGCCATTTACATCACTGAAACAAGAGGAGTACCATACCTATCCCACTGAATCATTCCACTTGAAAATGCACTGCCCTTGAATTGTGTTGTATGAGTGTGGACCTTAGTCAACAAATTAAGGACAAAAGCAACCCACTTTCAACAAATACATTTATTCACCTGAAGAAAATGTAAGAGAACAGAGAGGTCAACGGGGAATGCTGGCACAAATAAACGAGGCAGCCAGAGCTGCGGCCCCCTGGTTTTTCATCATCAACCCTGCAATGTGAGCCACACTGGACCCACTTCCCCCACAAAAAAAAAAAAAGCAAGTGATGAACCAGACATAGGAGGAGGAAAGAAAGGATGGACAAAGAGCTTTAGAGCACACAGAAGGGACATCAAAGAGGGCATAGGGACAAGAGGGGGGTGGATGATCTGCAACACCTGTGAGCTTACAAACCGGCAAACAGCAGCGGAGGGTCGAGCGCCCCGGAACAGTGACCGGGCACTCAGCACCGCAACACGCCACACCATGTCACCACTGCACTGCACCGCATCTTAACAGCTAACCAGCATTACTCAACTGCTACACAACTGCGCCTAGTGCACAAAAGATACACAAGAAAGAGGGTTAGAGTCATAGGAAGCAATTTAACCAGACAGAAAGAGCTGACAGAAAAAAAACGTCAAAGACGAATGAACCCAGGCTGATTAACATACAGCATGTTTGTCCAATTGAGTGGGGTAACAAACCGATATTTGTAATTGACAACCTCCTGCCAAGACAAAGAGTATAACAAGGTCTTCCATGAATCAAAATAAATCAATAGTTTTATTTAAGAGTACAAATTCAAAAATAAAGTCACTTAAAAGGGGAATCAAACGAAACAAAAAACAAACAAAATCACATATTTACTTGAAGATGCCCAACTTTGTGAACGACCAACATGACGTTTATTTCGGTAGCACAAGCAAAACTAGCTATTTAGAAAATGTTTAGACCAAGTTCCAAATAACCTTTCAGTCTGCTTTCAGTGGCAATAGTGGAGTCTCTTGAACATGGTGAGACTCGTCCTGATGTCCTCGGCAAAAAGAAGCAATCGCCCGAGAGATCTGCAACAAAACACAGCATACAGTTAGCAAGAGCATATCTAAAAAGGCACCCGCTTAACTCCTGACCTGAGTGTTTACATAATGCGAGTACGCCTCATGTATGTTTACGCACCTTCCGTGGTACCACATGCCCAAAGACTAGCTCTACACAGGACTCTGGCACTGGGGGGTCTTTTTCAAACAAACCTTTGGGTTGAGAGGCGGGAGGGCAAAGCGCAGGCGGCGGGTGGGGGTCCGCCCGCAATCCCCGTGAACGTACCTCACCACACCGCCTCAAACACCAACTGACAGCCCAGCACCACCGCCATGACGACCTGCTCCTGAGCAACCAAGCGTTGCCTGGGTGACCTGCTCCCGAGCAACCGCCGTCACCCCCCCAGCAACGGGCAGCTGACCTGGGCGGCTCACACACTATAACTGCTCTCACACTGCCACACCCCCATCTCCTCCTCCTCTCTTTGCAAACAGGATTCAGCAGCTTGGAGGAAAGAATTTCACATTAAGTGAACATATGGAGTGAAGCACACCCATATATACTCACATTAGCCCAATTCAAACCCTCTATTGTGCGTGTTTGAAATTGTTTATCGTCACAACACGCATGCTTGAGAGCCAAATTATTCTTGGTTATTGCAGTACTAAAATAGAGATGGTTCTGCTGACTTTGTTGCTTGTGCAAAATTTAAAAGAGCAACCTCAAGAAAGCAGAATACTAAACATTTAACATGTATTCATGATATTCCACCCATCCCACTAAATACCGTCATGTTGCGTCCAACTTTGAGCTATGGCTCTGTTCCGTTGTCCTCTGGAGACTTGGGCCGGCTCTTGGACTTGGACCTGGATCTGGACCCGTGATTAGAGGCAGGGCTCCGGCTCCTTGATCTGGACCGGGACCGAGAGGGGGACTTGGACTTGCTCCGCCGTGGGGTTCGGGACTTGGATTTGGACTTTGAGCGGGACCTGGATCGGGAGTAGGAGCGGGACCTGGATCGGGAGTAGCGACGGCGACTCCTGGATCGGGAGCGGCTCCTGCTCCTGGAACGGCTGCGTCTGCGACGACGGGGGCTCGCTGAACGTCTGCAAAGAGAAACATTGCCATTTCAAGGAAATTACATCTTAGGGAGCAGAGTCCAAAAGGCAAACTGCCAGTGTAATAAAAAGGGACAAATCTACTCAAACTAAAAGGTGCCTCTTTTGTCGACATTGCAAAGCTGTTCCATTGCATTTATTTAGGTAGGCATTCCAATAGGAACTGATTATGTGTCCTTGTAATTTGTACATATTTACACTTTACAGGTACATGAACAATCACGAACTGTTTTAAATGGGGGGAAATGCACAGTACGACTCGTTTACAGAACTCGATTAGGACTCCAACATCATAAAAGCAAAATTAACATCGTTTGAAACAAAAACAATGTTGCCGTCAGATAGTCTACTGGCAATGCACGTGGGTTGTGAAAACAAAATGGCGGCATCTCGCGAAGTGAAAACGTTAAAAAAAAAGCGGAACCGGAAACGAAATCTAGTAGACTACCGTTTGAGCGCGTGATAATTTTGATTCGCAATTTAACAACTTTGGCCATTTTTTCACCGTCCTGAACAGACGTATTCTTTGTACCGTCGCTGTTGAGGTCCTCTCCGGCTGTACATGGAGTCAGGCGGCCGACCGTAGCGGGCCATCTGCACGCGCAGCTCCCGTCCGTCGAGCAGCGCTCCGTCCATAGCATCCATGGCGTCCTCGGCGTCGCGCTTGTCCAAGAAGCGCACGAAGGCGAAGCCGCGGCTCTCCTTGGTGTACCGGTCCCGCGGGATGTACACGTCCCCCACGCGACCGTACTTCTCAAATACGCGGCGCAGCGTCTCCGGCGAGGTCCGGTAAGTCAGGTTGTCCACTTTAAGGGAGGTCATCCCCTCCACGTCTGGCGGCGGCCTTCCGTAGTTCATTTTCTCGGCGTAACCAACCTTGGGGCCACGAACAAAAATATTCTTGGGACTTCCTTGCTGTAAAATAACAAGACGCCGCTGGTTTTGAAATCTTGGCACGATTCAAAGCCGAGTTTAGAAATACTCGAGCGTGTGGACCACTTGAGCCGTGTCTTACCAATACACGAAATGGCGGCAACAAAGCTTCTCACTCCCTTTCTCTCCGCCCGTGGTGGCCTTCTCTGATTGGCTGATGGCCTCGCGCGCTTTATCCGCCTCCACCGCGCCCGATGCCCTTCACTACACCCTGGTGACGGGGAGGTTACATGGCTATAATCAAGGAAACTTCCGTTCCTGCTTGGAGAAAACCTTTTCACAATTTGGAAAGTGTCTCGAAAGCGCTTTTCTACCCATCGAATCAATTGAGATATTGTGGTTGCACAAATGTGTACCCCTCTTTTAACCGTCAAAGACAGTGGAAATGGTTAAGTTGTGGACTATTTACGCAAATTTGAAAGTGATTGTTTCATTCATGAACACATTCCCATTTAAAAGAGAATGTGCACGCTTGTGCAGACTTTTAGGTTTTTTTTTTTTATTTTACTTCCCCTCTGTATAAGTTTCATTTTTTTCCATTGAGTCGGTCATACTAATGGTGAATGGTTTTGAAATAATTCACATTTTTAGATCACAAAAATGTGGTAGATGCACTGGGAGTGTAGAATAACGTCATTACGCAATGACATCATCACGCAATGTGAACGTCATTTAGCAACAAATTGGCCAGCCTGGAGCAGCATCCCCTGAAAATAACGAGTTAGCAACCCTGGGCTATCACTCCTCCTTTGTTCTGTTCAGTACACCTCAAAATGTTTCACTTCACCATTAAATCGGAGGATCTCTGATTGAGCTACAATGCTGTTGTGGTAGCTACGTTACTACCCCCGAGGTATCGTGTAAAATGTCATGTTTCGCATAGCTAGCTCATTAAATTAACCCCCCCTCCCCCGTTAGCTTTTCCTCTATCGTGTATTACTGGGAGCGAGTTACTCTCCCTGCATTGCAGTCTTCGCCAGGGGGTGAAGGCTCCATATTGTGCGGCTATGTTAGCTGCTAACTTGAGAGAGCGATAGAGAGAGAGAGAGAGAGAGAGAGAGAGAGAGAGAGAGGACTGCGCCAAAACCAAGGTCCGGATTTGTGACGTCACAGGGATCCAGAGACCTCTTTGACAGGACCGAGGTTGACTTCCAAGACCACCTGGTTGTTCGTGTATGCTGCTTTTTGTTGCTTTAAATCTAAATTAAGATTGTTTTTTTTTTTAAAGGGAATCCCACTATCGCCCCCCGCCCCACCACCCCTGCCTCCTTCAACCTACCAACCGAGCTCCACCGCTGACCGGCGAGGACAAACAAGCAGCAGACCAGCTACTAATCCCCGGGACGGTCACATCCACGCCGTCGAAGGGCGAACTCGATGTCCTTTTACGACAAATAAACAGAGACAAGGATCGAGGGGATTAAATGAGTCGAAGTAATCATCATCGAGGGGGTTCGACAAAGCGAAGCTGAATGTCCATTGGGTCTTTATTATCGTCACTTGAGTGGAGATGGGGGCTTTCGCGAGTAGACAAAACATAGGCGTGGAAGAAGTCGATATTTCGTCCAGTTCGGTATACCGTTACCCACCGAAATCTGGTAAGTCGCCAACAACAGGTCTGACCAATGTGTGTGTACGTGTATTTGAGTGTGTGTTTGTCACGGTTTAACGCTGCAGAGCGTGTTGCAGGTGATTGTGCTTTGGGCTAAAATGATGAAAAAGTAGCACGTACCTAAGCACAGGGGCTGCCGACAAACTGGAAAATTGCTGCAGTAAGGCCTCCAGGACAACGGTACATAGCTTGTCATATTTCTGTTCTGTAAAATTGCATTAGTTCAAGCATCTAATAATAACAACAACAAAAATCTGCTTTTACAAGTCAGTTTTGATGTATTTAACAACGCACGACTGAAGATTGCTTCATGCACTGTGTCGTGTACCTGGTCCTAATATTTTGAACCTCTGATTCATCTGTAAAGGTAACCAAAATGAAACTCACCACCTTCATAAACTCATATTTAATTGAAACCTTACATCGAGTATTGATTGATGCAAGCGCATTTTAGCTGTTTTGTGGCACTCAGACTGATTGCCTGCACCTTTACCCAAAGCAAACTTTAATTTAATAAGAGTTTGCTATCAGTCTGGATTTATAGACGTGCTGCAGAACTCAGCCAGCTGAAGTTGGCGTGTAGGACAGGATGATTGTGGTGAGTTTTTTCCCCCCCACCCTTAATTAAACCTAAGCAACATGGTATAAATCCAAATTCCTGCTTTCTGGACCTCAGACTGATACGTGTGTGTGTGTGTGTGTGTGTGTGTGTGTGTGTGTGTTTGTTTGTATGTCTCCTATTTGACTGCAGCGTGACTCGCAGGGGAGTTGAGCTGCAATCTCATTTGAAAGATCAGAGATAGATGTTGAAAGAATCATTTCTGTCATCTCACCATAAAAGACACCTCAAACTGAATTTGGGAATGCGATTGCAGTCTGATGTCACACGAATGAGTTGCAACATCATTCTTAGTGAAATATAGACGATGAAACCAGGGGCTTTCTTGTTATTTATTACCTGAGACTGCTGAAAAAAATAAAGGGACGTTCCAAGCTTTCAAAACTCCCTCAAGAAGTACACGTAGACACAGATTAATTATAATTATTTTTTGACATTTTGCAAATCAAATTTAGAAATCTGCGCTGTCATGTCACTTCAATTAATTTTGCAATCTATCCTCCGGGTCCGCAGGAAGTTACTTCGCCAGCCACTTCATCATGGGCGGAGAGAAGTTTGATTCAACCCACCCGGAAGGTTACCTGTTTGGAGAAAACACAGACCTTAACTTCCTCGGGACCAGACCAGTAGCGGTAAGATTTTTCATAGTCGTTGCCACTTAGACTCAATTTATTGCTGAATATGTCTGCCCATTAAAAAAAAATAAAAAAATAATGTCAGCACATAACAACAAGACAAAACTGCAGTATTTACAACGTTCAGTTATATATATATTTTCAAATTTCTTATATGATTTCTGCCCATTTGTCAAACAACTCCTTACTTGACAGCCAACTCCATCATCCGGCACTCATTTCGTGTCGATGCGCCGCACAGCAACCTCGCTTGCCTGCAGCTGACGGCACCCTGCAGCTGACGGCACCCTGCTGCAGCGTTTAGCAACCTTCCACACTCTGCCCGATTGCAATTGACATGGATGTGTCTTCCTGTCAGAGTAATTAAAAATGAAAGGGGAGACTCTGCCAAGCGAAAAAGGCGTGCTCCTCCGTTTAAAAAAACATTTTTTTTAAATCGCGTCACCGGAATGCTGAGCTCACAAGCAGAGAATTTTGAAGTGAAACTTGCGGTCTTAACTGCCGTTTATGTCTAGACTCGGGCTAAAATTAGCAGTAGCGTTTTTTTTTTTTTTTTTTTTTTTTCGCCCAGATTATATGGCCGTTTAAATCCTCCCGCCGGTTGAGAATTCACCAAAAACCTTTTCTCCCCCTCTTCATCTCTCTTTGAATGAGACGCTCAAAGCAGCGTTATATAATGTTGGGTGGTGTGCTGCGAGCAGATGGCACAGTCAAAAGCCTAAACCCATCTTAAGTTATTGCACTCCGGCTCTCTCACAAATATGATCACGGACAAGCTATATTTAGAGGCCCTCCTCCACCCCACATGCAATAATCTCCCATAAGGAATTGAGTGTTTCATCAAACGGTGTTTAGTAAACACAAGCGTGAATGAATGGCCACTGTGGCATTTCGAATAACACGTCCACTGTTGTCTCCTGAAAGGCTCTTTTCAGCCTCAGCGTGTGTGCGTGTGTGTGTGTTTTACCGCCACAACTCCCACCGAGGCCCAGATGTGGATCGCTACTACCATTCACGGTCGTGTAAACACACAAGTGAGGTTTGTGTCGAGTGTGTGTGTGTGTGTGTGTGTGTGTGTGTGTGTGTGTGTGTGTGTGTGTGTGTGTGTGTGTGTGTGTGGGGAGTGCGCGCAC